TCAGGCAAGTGAATATACTCCTAGTATTAGACATATTCCACAGGTATCATAGGGGTGACACAGCAGCATTCAACAGGATCACTGCTGAATTCTGTAGCTCATTTTATCAGGAATAATGCAACTGCTTTTCTTGCTGTGAGCTTAAGGCTTCCAATACTAAAATCTTTTCTTAAATTTAAATTTAAAAAAAAACAAAAAGAGGATAACAAAATCTCATTTTCCTACACTTTAATAACTCCATCAAAATCAGCAGCTTTTGCACTCTTTCTGTCATTCAGGACCTAATGCAAGATCTTTTAAAACAACTGCTTTATTTAAACACTATCACAGAATCAGAGATAACTAGAAACTCAGTGTAGCAATCACTAGGACCAGATCCTGGCAGCAAAAAACAGCTAATAATATCATAAGCAACAAAGGAAAAGAGTTGCATGTATACATTCAATAATCCATCATTCCTCAAAAGACTTCATTTTTTTGTGTAATTTCCACTGAATTTCCATTTTCTGAAGGAGAGCCCAGCTGATGATTTCATTTCAGAAGAAGAAAGATTTGCCTATTTACTTTCTGGTCCAAGCCCCTCCAAAAGACTTTCTTATTTTTTGTTGTCAGTGATGAAAGAAGCTATTTGTTTGTGACAAGAAAAAATCTTACTGACGAAAAGTGAGATGGCTTTTTTGTTTGTTTCTCAGTTAAATCAATAAAACCCCGAATGTGCCAGTTTCACTTTCCATTTTGAAATGCATTGGACAGCTGCAGGGCAGAATGTTACTCCTTCATTATTCTCTCTATTAGTCTTCAAATAATGCTATTTGGGATCAATGATCACCTCAGACATGCTAATATAAACACAATTTGTTTCCATAATAATTGGCATGCAGCTACTTAGTGCATTATAAACGGCTGTATAAATTAATCACAGATTCATACACTGGCTATGTGCTCTGTAATTTGTCTTTGCAGAGTTACTACTGTCAGATCAAGTTTTTATCTATTCTTAATTTTAAGCATTTAATTACATTAGCATTCACACTATAAAACACACAAAGAGGTCTCAATTACCATTGCCCTTCATGAGATGAATTAATTGAAGTCATAAATCCATTCTGTTATACCAAGTAACATCAAAGGTTCACTGTTTAACTCATGGACTACCTGGTGCTGTCTCTCTGCCCATATGGAATGCCCTCACTGTACTCTTACTGAAGTGTACAAAATGTCCACTTGTCATTGTATTTTACATTTGCTTTCGAGTCAGAGGAATGACTCCTCACATATTAGATAACTTAAACGTCACTGAATGTTTTGGGGTATGCTGCCCCATAAGAACGATACAGATTCTGTAAGTCAAACTTTTAAAAACATCTTTGGCCCTCACAGTTTTCTAGACTACCCTTTAAATGGAATCTTTTCTCAAATTATTGCCCTCTGTGTTGCAGTGCATTGAACTTATAAAAACAGTAACCGTAGTGGAAAAGCACAAAGGAAATAATAGAAAGAATTTGGCATAAATAAATTTTACAGCTGGATCTTTGACCTTAAAAAGCTGATTAGAACATTTTGCTGTGGAACATCAGAAACATCTTTCTGTGGCTCATGGCTCAAAGCACTGGAAATGTTTGCTGATGATGCTCAGCTTAGCAGGAAATTCAAGAGGTCTGGGACAAAGAGCCCAGTCCAGATTCTACACTTTGTTCTTTCCCTGGTTGCTGTTCTTTTCTTGATGACTTTTGTTGAAATGCACGTACCCATGTATTCACTAACAATGTATGGATAAACCAGCTGCAGTTTTTACAAGCTGAGACCACGGTAACACAAGCTGAGACCACGGTAACACTGCATATAACGTTTAACCACTGCTCACTTGTCTGTGCATTCTGAGATGCCATCACCTTGAACTAAGTGCACATCATCCACCACTTTCCTCCATTCTTTCAGGCAGCTTTAAACTTTGGCACTTCTCTTCTTCAAGTACTGTACACAGGTACCCTTTCCAGTCCTATACACACCTTCACCTCCCTGTTCTTAAGCACACACGTAGCTCGTGATGCCTCCTCTTGTAATAATGTTGGCTGCTCTACCCAGATAGAACACTCAGGCCCACTACCCATGATGTAGGCACAGGCTCTGACAGGGACGCTGTCTTTTCTTCAAGGACTAATGAAATTATGTCTAATTTACAGAGAGGATGTAAAAAGTTGCCTTCATTTGCAAGTTAAAGAAGAAGGGATGTGTTTCTAATGACAGAGTAAAAAGTCATTAAAAACAAACCAGAACTGGTGAGATGGCTGGAAGGTAATACGGAGGGCAAAGGAATGATAGTCTGGGGCACACAATACTGTAGGATAATTTCATGAATTGGCAGGGAATCCAAGACACAGTACTGACAGATAATGGAGAAGAAAACAGGATATGAAAAGATTATTCATTCAAAGCTAGCTTATAGTGTCTTATCTCCATTCTCAAGATACAAACAGAAACAATGAACACTGGTGGTTCAAAAGAGAGCTTTCCATCCAGGTCACAGTAGTGCATTTGTCAGGTATCACAGAAGTGTAGAACAAATATTTCCTCTTAACTTCCTTGTGCAACTTGTTAATGGGATTAATCCAACGCGTAGGAGGAGTTGTTCACCAACAGGTCTACTCTGCATCACAGACACTGGGCTAATAACACTTAAAACTCTGTCTAAGAGGTAGGAGAGCAAAGTTACTGACAAGGTGCTGGAAATCTTGCTCTTCAAACTGTAGTGCCATGACTGAGTGAGAGGGCTGCTGTCAGGTCCTTAAAGGAAAGTGTGACAACTTCTCTCCTTGCCTTAGTAGGAGTAAGAAAACAATTTTAAGCAGGGTCTTTGCTCACTATACGTGAGACAGTTTCCTCAGTACCATGCAGTTAAGCCCTCATATGAAACACATTTAAGAGAGACTTCCACTCGTGTCCTTAGAAAGAACTCCATTACATATCTATTTTCTTCTAAAATTCCTCTAGGCAGCTACTCTACCCTGCTAAGTACGATGAACAGATTTGCCATTAAGCAAGGTGATCCATTTCTCCTCCTAATCAGAGACAAGAATCTAAACTTACATGTAATTTACAAAGTCAATAAAGAGAGAATGATGTAAATCAAACTGATATTCTGCAAACCAACTTCTTATGTTGCCAACACTCTCTCTCTCCCTGCACTGGTTACTGACACTGCATAAGAAAGCAAGGTTCCTTTAGATGTCTAAAATGACAAGAACTTCTAACCTCACTACCAAATTCCCTTTAAAAATTCAGAGGTAGTTCTAAAATGCACCAGTACTCTGCATAATTTTCACCAATTTCCAATGAAGAAATTGAAGAAGAAATTCCAAAGAAGAAATTAAAATAACAATAACCAAACCGACCCACAAACAAAATAGCTCTAGAATATTCTAGAACTATCTTTTTTTAAACTGCACTATTTCCCCATTTCTCATTGTTTGTATGCCCTAGCCAGCCACAGAGTGATGTAAAGAACAAGTATCCTCTAGCTATAAAGTTCATCCATGGTAAAGCCCTGAAAAGAAAATATGTGTACTAATTTTCTTGCCATTAAGTCACTAATTATACTGAAGAGAGGAAAAAAACCTGCAACACATTGATTTTTTTCCTTTTGCCCTTGGGGAAAAAGCTAGTATATAATTATCAGTTTCCTAACTCTGTTAATTGCCCTTTTGTTTTAATAATGAAAGAAACTCTTTCATCTGTTTCAAAACAGTACTGCACTGAGACAGGCTGGAGGAAATATGAAACCCAGCAATGGTTCAGGGCTCTGGAGAAAACAAGCAATATCTATTCCTAACCTCTTACTGACCTATCACCGGCCTTAGACAAACAAGTTAAACATTCAATTAGCAAAAAAGAAATGAACGTGAAGTTTATTAATTTAGAAGAGAAGATGCAATGTTGTGCATATTAATTCACCTAATATGCCCCACAGCATCTGAACTTCTGTTAGATAAATCCCTTCCAGTTTCAGATACTCACTCCTAAGAGGCAGCTTGGTAGCAAAATCTCTCACACACAGGTCTCTGTATATTTGCATCACAGAGGAGAAATTTGGAGCTAATGATTTTGCAATTTCAGTACGTCTTGAACCTTGTTTATTTATCACAGATCGAAGCTGTCTAACTCCTTGATACCTAATCACTGCAGCATTTTTAGATTTTCCATCCCTTATTTATCTTCCTATGTTCCTTCATTCTCTGCTCTTTCCTTTGATCTTTAACTTCTATCTCTCTTCTGATTTACATCTGTGTTTACAACCACCACCCTCCAACCCCACTACAAAAAAGCCTCTGTGGCTGAACTGCCTGTCAGGCTGCCTATCAAACTGCTCTGCCTCCACCCTCCACTACTACTCACACTCGCAGCAGCTGTTCCTCCACTCCAGTTCTATCAGTGCCTGCTCTTGTGCCACTTTTCCTTCCACTCTCCTGCACCATGAAGGTATCTTTGCAGGGCAGCATGGACTGGATGGGTGGACTACAGTGGATGCACAACCAGGCTGGATCACTGGGCTCAAGGCATAGCAGGGTCAAGGGCTAAAAGCCCAGATGGCAGCAGTTTAACAGTGGTACTGCACAATACTCCCTGTTCCTTCTTTTGTCCCAAGAAATCTTAGCCTCAAGAAATGAGACACTTATTCCTCAATTGTCTAAATATACAAAACATGCTGGTATCCTGCCATCACTTCAAAACCAGAACCAGGAGAGATGCTTAAATAGTACACAAAGCCAAGAACAGAAAGAAAAATGAACACAGCCTCTTTACTCTTCCACTTCTCCATTGCAAGACTAGAAATACAGTCTTAATGCATTCTGTGCAAAGTACAATAAACTAAAAGTTCTGCAACTGTCATATCAGTTCCTCAGCTTTCTAACAGTAGGGTTTCACTACTGCTCAATAAAATATGGGTATTGCTGATTTGTTATTCGGTTGTTTGACCTTGAGAATATCTGATCACCACTCACCAACACAGACTGTACAGAAATCCTCTTCCAATCTGTTGTGCTCTCCTGCAGATAAGAAGTTAAAACAGACTAGTTAATTAGATGTAAGGAAGAACGGGACATAGAAATCTGAACTCAATATAATTCATTTCTGGAGACAAAGAGGTCAAGTGTGCATTACACTTGAGAGCTTATACAGCTTTTCTGGTATTTATTCAATAATATTAGTCTAAAGCTTCAATAGGTACTCAGCAATGTCCCATTTCAATAATGTGCTAGAAACTGCAGGTATTCTGGAATTATACCACAATTTGCATTGGACAAGAGCTAGTTTTAACACAAATAGCTCCACAGCTAGAACCCCAAGCATGTGTCAGTATGAAATCCCTTCGGAGATAGAAGATGAATGAACAATATACGTTTCTTCTTTTGGCCTCTGGATGGAATTAAAAAATACATAGGTAAATATATATTCATCTTATCTTAATGGTAGGCAGTATTTGAAATATACCACTTGCTTTTATGCAAAGAAGATGTACAGGTAGACTATAGTTGGCGCCTTTCAAAGTTTCACAGAACTTTCCTAGTTGAAAAAGAGTTTAAGACCATATACATATACATATACATGAGTGATAAACAAAATCGGACTGATTCTCTTAGTCTTTGGATGAAATCCAGCACCTCCTTCCATTAGGAAAGTAAGGAAGTATAGAAACCTGACTCCAAGAAACCAAATGCACTCGTGTTCTGACAAATATTTTTCACAGCAAACATGGAATCTTTTCACAATGAGAGATGAATCATAAAACTTCACATGTTCTTTCACATTCTATGCATATGTTCTTTATACTCATAATCGTGAATATTTCACTGCACCACAGTTATGAATACTTGGATATCTATTTCAAAAAGATGCATCTGATCTTCTCAGCCATAAATTGTGAAAACTGCTTTGTTTTCCCCACGCTCCTTCATTTTGTTCAGATTTTTTAACTGCAGAACAGCATTTTCCCAGACTCCCAGTTTCATGTTTCATCGTAACAGTTTGATATACAGCCATACATTCCATTTCTATGTGGCTAATGGAAAGATCTTTCTTTTTTTTTCTTTTTTCTCATGGAGTGTATTAGCTAAATTTGTGTTTTCCTCTTTAAGACAAAAAAAAAAAGTACTGCAAGTTGTTTAGCATACATGGGTGATGTTAGACCATTTTTCTTGTAAAGTTCTGTTGTTGCAGAAAGTCAAGTGGTCTTGGCTTAAATTTAGAGATAGGGCAGAAACTTGATGGTTTACCCAGAACTGTAAATAGTATACATTAGCTCATAAGGAAGTTTAGAGTATGTCAGTAACAAATGGCCGCAACACAGAGCTGCAGGAAATCTACATCTGGAACATTTCCACTTGACATTACATTTGTTTGTATAAACCACTGTGGAAGATGGTTGAGTACCCCAGTTAAAGCAGCACTTAGATTATCACATTCTGAAATCGTGAGTAAGAGTAATCAAATTGTCTAAATAATGTCAAGCAGTCTTTTTTGGTGCTCTCCTAAAGTAATTAGAGTGCCCAGATGATAATTTTCTTGATGCAATAATCTTACAAACAACAGAAATGTTTCTCCTTAATAAAAACATAAACTGAAGGACAACAATAAGAATTGTGAAATAAAATGTATCTGGAAAAGTATTTATTTTCTGTCTGTATTACTCTTATTTTTAGAAGACTGTCTTTACATAATGATTCGGAATGAAAATAAAAAATTTTAGAAAGCTTAACAAATACTTTTGCTTACTGTTCTCCTCATAATTAGGTTTTCAGGGTTTCGTTGTCACAATAACGAGTCAATGAGGCTGTTTCTGGGTGTAGGAACAATAAGGGCGTGAGCAAAAAGAACTCTCCATGGGGTAATATCTGCTGCATAGCAATGCCTATAGTCCAGGAACTATGAAAGAGTTTTCAGAATATTCTTTGCTACATTTGGGCACTTTCTCTGGATATCAAACCCTGGAGAGCAGGTTAGGAAATAAAACTGACCTGTGCAGATGCTCTGTCTGGCTAGCTGGGCTACAAGGGATGTCAAAGGAGACAGCTTATATCTAAGCACTAGAACACAAGGACATGATTTCTGTCAGAGTATTTTATCACTACCTCTTATCTTGCACAGACAAAATTACAGTTTGGGAAAATAAGATGGGAGGAAGCAGGAAAGATGAAGCTAGTTTTGCCTTATGGCAAAATTGACTTCAGTGAAAATTCATTTTTCTCTATGTGATACAAAGAAATAAGGAATAAATAGAAAGTTCAGGTTTTTACAGCTTGGCTGTAGATGAAACACATCTTGTACACCCAAGGAACCATACTGGAATAAGTGCCACTGGGAAAATTAATAACAGGAACAAGTGATCACATGAGCGCTAAAACCAGTGAACCTTGGTTTTTATAGATTTAAATTGCATACTTGGATTCTCTGGTGTTTCATAAGGTAGAACCCTTCACTGCTTGTCTGAAGCCCTGCCTGGCCTTTTCCTCCACTGTAGCATTAAACAGAATTCTGCATTAGGCTTTGCTTACTTTCATGATCCCTTTGCTTTTATTGGAATCTTATTACTTTATTAAATTTAATTCACGTTAGTCAACTGGACAGACACCATTCCCTGTCTCTGCCCTACGCTCAGTGTGACTTTTTAAGAGTTGATACCTTAAAAAGCTAAACCAAAAAACACTCATGCTATCACAATTGAGAGGAGCTTCCACAAACATCTGCTCAAGTAATGCATTATCCCCCTTCAAAAGCTGCTTTAACATTCCTCCCTTCTGCGGCACTGACATAAAATCTGACAGTGATTAGTTTGCTAGTGTCCAAAGACCACTGCTTATCTCACAGACCAAAAATGCCTCATTTTTTCTTGTAGTTTTCAGTTTGTCTGTCTGTCCTCTGTCTCAGTTTGATTTAGACTGCAAATGCTTTGATACAGAGGTCACCTTTTTACCGTTTGTTTTTGCAGCAAGCACAAAATCATCCATGTCCATGACCAAGATACCTGAGCACAGTATTAATGCAATTAATAGCTAATATTTATATTAAGAAAATGGTAATTGCACAGGATGCTTGCAGAGTCACACAGTATTCATCACTCTGACCTGCTGTCTTTGATAAGGAACTGCCAGTTGTTCTAATGCACTGAATGAGATATTATTCATATGACAAACAAATCTGTCAATTGGCTTTACTGGCCAGCCCAAATTCTAACAGAGTGTTTATCCAAAACAAATCCCTGCTTTAAGTTGGCAGGCTCATTATTTTTCATATTAATATGTGTACCAACTTGAGAGTTACTACTGAAGCATTTTAGGCCTCTACAGATGGACTGATGATTGCACCTTGATTTATGGCTCATCACCAGGACATTATTCACAAAGCCTTGATAACTCATTTATATCGGTCAGCATGAGCATTTGACTTGACAGAATCATTATCCACATTATCACCAGAACTCACACATGGACCTCTGCCTTTGCTCTGGAATTGATATTGGCTTTCAAGTCAGTAAACACTACTCGGTGCATTCCCACTCAGAGCTACCTACACCTTACTGCCCCTCTGCACTGTAGTCACTTAGTATCTAAAGTTCATCACACATCTTCATACATCTAATCTGTGATAAACTTTTTGTTTTTTAACATCTGTTCTACGTTACTTGACATTTGAGATGTTATATCTGTACTTAAAATGTCTGATGGTGAAAGAAAAAAACCACTTGATATTAAATCCTTTCATAGCATTTATCTTAATTTGTAACCTATTAAAATCCTGTTGCACCTTTAGGACACGTGATATTTTTGCCACATTTTATCTAGATCACTCCATTATGTTAATGCATACTTGCTTAAATATTTCCAGATCAGAATAAAAACAAGAGTTCTGAAAATCAGAATTCTCACAATCCAAAAAACCACAAAACCTGAGTTCTGTTTGAACCTGTGGTGGATTTGACTTCCATGTGTAGGAACACCTTGTACTTGACTTGCAAAAAGAGAAGGAACAGAAAAGGATGAAGGCTGTCCCTCTTCTCCTATTTAATGGATTACCTTAATCCTGTACACCACAGGAAAGACCAGACCATTATAAACAGGGGCTCATAACTGTATATATTTCATGTTTATGCATCTAAGCAGACAACCTAATAAAGGTAATGTTATCTTTAAGCTGTTAGCAGCAAGAAATAATTGGACAAACTTGTATTTCCCTTTCAGGCATTATTCACATTCTACCATCAAGGTCATTCAATGCTTAAACAGAAATATAAACAGTCAGTAAAGATTTGAGAGATCATTTGAGAAATTACACCTTCAGTTGAACAACTAGTTCTGCATGCTCATTTGCACAACCAGAATAGACACTTTTCTATTCGTTCTGCTGCCTCTTTCAATGATACAAAAAAGCAGAGAGGGGATGAGAGCCAGCTTCATTATTAGTAATTCTGAATCACTTCCAAAATTCAGATTATCACATCATCACTTCAGTTTATAGAAACTCATTTATTTCTGACCTGTTTTGCATTTCTGACCCGCCTTGCTACTTATGTAAAAACGATGAATACTTTTACCTTAGCTGCCACTGCTTCTGTGTACCTATGCATAATATATATCTCAGTTTGAATTTATTCTCATAAGACCTGCGATTATAAGGATTCTGTTTCAAGTGACAAGTTTGCACCCATATATTTTTATTTATTGTGCAAATTAAACTATACGGGGATTTAACTAACTACACACACATTTTCATGAAATAACCATGGCAACTGAACATAACCATGTCTTGAACATCATCTCCCACAAGATCTTCCTTAGCTAACTCAAACACCACCCAGACATTTGCAGTCTGCAAATAAATGATATATCACTCCAGTATATATTCTTGAAGTTCTAATATAAAAAAACTGTAAAAGCTGGTTTCAAGTTGCAATCATAAAAAAATCTTTTGTTCCAATATGCTTAAGAATCAGGCCTTCACATGATGATGATAACTCAGCCTAAAATAAAGATACCTGGAAACTGATATCACTTGACTTGACATATATAACAATGCCTGTGTTGTTACGTCCTTGTACAAACAAAAAAATGCCAGCCATGTGCTATACTTAAACAAGATGCTCGTGCCAAATGTTATAAAATAAAAGCTGTAATGCGTGTCAAGCATCGTTTAGTTCTCCTATGGAGCGCGCTGTCACTGAAATTATTAATTCAGATTTCATGTCTAACTCTTTTAATTATTTTACCAGTGGCTGCTAAGAAAGTCCATCTCGTACTATCAAGATTAAAAAGACACATTAATCAGAAGGCACACGAGCAGTACTCTAAATCAGCTGTGCAAGACAAAATCTCTGCTCATTCGTAGAAAATCGTAATAGTAGGAAGTAATTGTTTTTTCTAATACTACTGATGGAAACAATCCTAAATACCACTGACTAGAGTCACCCATTTTGCTTTGCATTTTTTGTGGCATTCAAAACAGGCTCAGAAGAAAATATCTCATGATAATCATTAAAATTCTAATTTTAATACCTTCATAAAAACCCGGGTTTTTTTTTTTTATGAGGCTAAAAGGACTTTTCTCTTGCACAAGGCTATGCCCTTATAACTGGCAAAACCAAAAGAGAATTATTTTCTAGAAGGCTAAGCCATTAAGATGAAAATCCCATCTTTTGAAAAAGGCTGATACCTAATCTTTATCACTGTATTGATTGATCTGGGTTGTGAAACCTACCCATATCCAGCTTAGCTGTCTGGCAGACAAAACAGGAAAGGAGAGAGAAATCCATGTCAATCAATCTGTAATGAAAAAAAATTCATTTGAAATTAAAAACCATTAACACATTTTAGTTGCTTAGAGAGAGGTATGAACTGTGAAAAGTTCATTTTAAGAACTAACAGTAAAGGAAATGCCAGAGTTGTCAAGTTAGTAGTCTTTCTTAGTCCCCAGCACAGCAGTTCACACCCTCAGGATATAGTAGATTCAGGACCAATTTCTATGACAGAGTGATTAGCTAAAGAACTGGTACAGGTGATAAAAACAGGAGAGTGGGGAAAAACTGTCTTTTCACATGTGTTTCAGCCTGAAGCCTCCTATTATCTTAAGACTTCATAAGGCTTTGAGAAACAGCCAACTAGACTGCTTTGGTAATTAAACTGAAAAGACAAGGGCCAAAGGTCAATTAGCGTAGCAGGCAAAGGCTAATTGGCATTTCATTTTCGGAATATCAGATGGGAAAAGCCTGAGCAAATGGCCACTCAAAAGTGCTCCTCTGGAGTTTGTGAGGGTCTTAGTATGAGGAGAAATAAAGAGTTGGAAGTTATGGCTGGCTTTCTTTTTTTTCCGACTTGTGGAGTTCAGTTACACTGGGGGTTGAAGAAAGAATGACTCATCTTGAAGGATTATTCTAAAATGAGACAGATTCACAGCTCAAACCAATTGCATGCCAATTTCTTTCTATGCTTGAGACTGAATCCTGAATGCCTGAGGAGAGCTTGCACCTTCACTGAGCTGCTCTAGTCATCATTTTTGTTACTTTAAGGGATAATAATATTTCAATTTTTTTTCTTAGGCAATCAAACATTTACTGTAGCACAAACTACAAATTGAATATTCCACTTTTTAGGTGAGAACCCTTACAATATAACTGCAAGATTTGTTCTCTGGATCCAGACAACCCCCAAGCAGTCCGTGCAAGGTAGATCAGATTGCACATGAGGAAGAATTAGCTGAAACAGCATGGGAAGCAGGTCCTAGAACTCTACTTGTTTATTTATAGTGAGACTGTTTCAAGAGCAGAACTTAAGAGCAATGAAAGCCAACATCCTGTACAGTCTAGTGGGTTAAGCAATAAACATCAGAATGCCCTAAATGCTGACTTGCTGGATTCTTCCCTTAATCTTGCCTTCAACATCTTTTCCCAGCTGAATATATTTGGCATGCTCAAGTAATCTAAGGCTGAACAATGCTTCATTTTTCTAGGAATTTGCTATTCAACGGACTCACTGCACAACACAAACAATGCTGTGCAGTTTTTAAACGTTTAACTTGCCTGTCAGGCATCAGATGTCAGCAGAACGGTGGAGTCTTTTCCGCAGGAACACATCCATCTATCAAGGAAAATGCTGTCTGCATACTGAGGAAAGAGGGCAATATCAGCTGAAGATCTTTCTGCTTGGTTTTCTGGTTTTGCAAGGCTTCACTTTTGTGATTTTGTCCCAAAACTGAATAACTCCATCAATAACAGCATCCTTTTCCTGTTAAAGAAGAAAAAGATACTTTAATGGGAAAGTTTTGTCTTCTGTAGACTGTACAGAACAAATTACACATGTAGCTATCATAGTTTACAATAATCATTGAGCTTCCATGACTTCAACCCCAGCCATTGAAAGTTTTCATCTATTCACCATGATACATAGCCACGAAACCACAGAACAGTTGAGGTTAAAAAGGACCTTGGGAATTTGCCATATGGAAGAAACATATTGTAAGACCTGCTAAGTTTCCCCTTCCCTTCTTTTACTGTGTGATTAGCAAAGTTCAGTGCCTCCAAACTGGCATGAAGGTGTTTAATGTCAGAGCTTAATAATACAGCATACATTAAAAGTATAAATACAACATTCTTGCAGCTTAAAGAAAATATTTGCCCAAGATGAGTTATAAGTACATAGCTGTATCACCTCATGCTTTGCTGGATATAAAATGACCCTTTAAAGCCTTCTGACATTCTCCTCAAAGCTGAGGATTGAGGCTATGACCTTTTCAAAGCCTTCCAAAGAGCTTCACAATCAACTAAGTCTTATAGAGAAAGTTTCAATAGGAGCCACAGACTTCTTTGATAATCATGGCCGCATGGTTTCCCTCACTCATGAAAAGCAGGAAGCAAACTCAGTTCCTTCTGTTTTGCAGAACATTGAGCTGTAGATGCTCAATGAGTTCAGAAGACTAGACTATCGCACTGCAAGCAAAAAGTAACACTGGAAAGAAACTGATCTCTATATAATGGTTTTGTAGCAGTAAAATTGACAGTCCTCTGCTGCTCAGGTCTACCCTGAAGGCTTGATGAAGTATTCTACTCTAAATACATAACAGATAGTTCCTCCCTTTTACTGTGTTACTGCATCTTGTGCTTATTGAATAAAGAAGAAAAGTTACTACATGCTGCCAGTTAAACAAATGAATGTTCATAGTCCCACATCTAAGGATTTAAACTTCATCCTTATGTTCATCATCAACTCAGTCTAAAGCATCGCCTGAAACCAGAGACCTACAACGGACACAAAGCGAATGAGATATTTCTAAACCAGAGCTGCTGCAGGCCTTCAGCACTGCAGATACAAAGAATGCTTTAGGAAGCATTCCTGCAGACCACTCAACTATCAAAATAAACCTCTTCTCCAGAAGAAACGAAACAATCCATTTGTTAAGAGACAGCATTCTGAAAATAAAGTTATGCAATAACACAGCAAAGAATCTAGAAGATAGTGATGTAAATATCAATTACCTGTTTATTCTTTCTCTCTTTTTTAAATCTCTCTACCTCTGGTGAAGACTTTTTTCCATTCTTTAATATTCAGTAGACAAGGCCTTAGATCCCAAGGCTAACCGAGAAGCCTCAGTCTCATTTTTCTATTAACAATATCTTCTTTGTGTTTGTCAGCCCTTTGGTCCCTCAGAAGCCAGTCCAGAGGCATTCACTGCTGCAGACCCAGTCCAGCCCAGTAAGCACAATGCATAGTGCCTGCACGCCAACAGCACTCTTCAGGTATGCTGTTGCAGCTGCCACTGGTGGCAATGCCATTTCAGATCTCCCTCTTTTATTCTCTACCACTGTCAATCAATCTTGTTCATTCCATGCCATGGCACTGAATACCAGCCTGCACAGTTTGCTAGAAACCTGGCCAGCATTCACCTGAATGACATTTCTTGCCCTAACGGCCTGGAGAGGCTTCTCCTCATCTCACTGATGGCTGCCAAATCTCATTTCTACTCCTCACGCAGACAATGTACGTAAAGCTTTTCTCTTGTCATTTTTCAGAAGAGATGTACTTTTATGGATAGAATTCCATCCTTAGTAGTACTACCTATCAGTATGCAAGCATTATTTCCCCAGGTAAGAAACATTTTCCAGCCAGGGACTGCTGGAATGTGGCAGTACTGACAGCTGGAATATAGCTGCTTCCTGCACACCCAAAGCCTCCCGTGTCGTGGGGGAACAGACTGCTCCTGTGCTGCTCACACTGCCAGTAACAGCACACACAGGGTAATCCACATGCCCTTCTTTTTCTCAGCAATGCTAATTCTGAAAGGGAGTTGATTAAGCAGACAATTTGCTCCTTACGTCAGTTCAGTGCTTAATATATCTATTGAGAGTGGCAATGCAAGCACCCATTCACGCACTTCATAATGACTGCACAATCACTGTCTTCTGGAGACTTGTGGCTACTCAGAAACAGTAACTGTTGCTCAGAGTAACAGCCACAGAAAATTCAGCTACATATGACCATTTTTACCCCCCTGACTGGCTGCATAACAATGCAGAGGACAGCATGCTGCCCAGTGCCTGGGCAGGAGGAGCACTGAGCTCTGGGCTCAGCTCAGACCTGCTCACAGAGAGCTCTGAAGACTGAGACCTTCCACAGCTGAAAAATCCTATCACACAAACATACTGGAGGTCTGACCAAGTAAAGCCATTGAAAAAGAAATTTAATCCAAAAGAATTTGAACACAGAGACTAAAAGGGCTTGTGAGTTTTCCAATTGATCTTGGTTTATTTCCCTGTTTAAATAATCCTCTCCCCATGTCCCATAACCCCTTTTTCAGGAATGATAATAAAACAGAACTGCTCCCATACAGCAAATTATCAATATTTCAGGGATGAAACTTTGCAGATCAGGAACTCTCCAAGAAGGACAGCATGGTGCCCAGCAGCACAGAACAGGGCATGGGTGTAGGAGTGCACAGCTTCCTGAAGAACACCCAGTGATCCCCTCTGACTCACAGAACTGAAAGAGATTAGACTGAACTTCTCAAGGTTACTTGAATCACGCAATCCCTGTTCCCAGGTCTGTGATCAATGGGGACTAACAAAGGATGACTCAGGGAAGGTCAGGGAGGTTAGAAGCTCTGAGGTATTTCATGACAGTTGATTCCTAGTCAGTAAGACACTTGTCAGACATCAGAAACATTCAGTGGTTTCTCTTTCTACCTAAGGACAGACCATATTCTGGCTCCCTCCAGATTGTTTTCTTTTGCTAACAACAGTAGTTTCCAGGAGTTTTTCCATATTGCACAGCAGCAGCTGAAATAGACTCATAGAAGCACAGAGGTAGGGTGAGTTTTAAGTGTTTGCTGAGGTATTTGGGGCTGGTCTGATCCCAGCAGAACCACGCTTAAGACCTGCTAGCTCTCTTGTTTTGCACATATGATCACTGGCACCAGATTCAACTAGAATGGGGAAAGAAGGAGAATCTTTCAAACAATTTGAAAAGCTCAGGGTTCCTTCTTCACTCCAGAGTTCAAATGACGTTTCTGTAAACCAGAGAGATGGGGTGGAGTGAGTAACAATTTATTTTCTTTATGAAAGTGGTATAAAAAAAAAGAAGAGTTGAGCACAGTCTCTGGCTCTGAAACCTGGGACATTCATCCCTAAATCCAACTCTCAAACTGCCAGAGAGCAGAAATGTTCTCCTGCAGGAAATGTCCAACATGGAGGTTTCTGAGGATCTCCCCTCATCTAAGTTTCCAGTGCTGTACGCTGGTTCCTTTAAAGATGCATGTGTATCTCTATATTGCAGTCTGTA